ACAATAACCAAAGCAATTGGGGTACCGACAACAACCAACGGAACTGGCACAACAACAATAACCAAGGGAATTGGGGAGGTAATAGTCAAGATAGTTGGGGGAATATAACAATTATGCCAATTGGAGTTCAGGTTTCTAATGTCCCCCAATATATCAACAAACCAAGCAACCCACCTCCCTATCTTTCCTAAGGTTCAAGTTCTAAAGCAATGAAATAGGTCGAACTGAGCATTAAATGATGGAAAAGAATGCGGATTTTGGATGCTCAACTTGTTTCTAATACCACATATGTTTGGAAATTTTTAAGTCCAAATGGGACAAATCTCTTAAGATCTTAATACAATAAAGTTGTATTACCAAATGACATGGTAATGAATCAAAAGGGCAGTAGAAACACAGGACATAGTTAAACACAGGACATACTATGGTAGTTATCACAAGGAGTGGAAAAAGTGGGAGTGTACCCAACCAAAGTGGAAAAAATTATAGATGATGGCCAAATGCTCCAAAAGGAGGAGATTTCATATGATAATGCTCGAGTAAATGATGAAATCCGAATTGAAATTGATGATAATATGGTGGAGACTTAAGAAGAGGTGAACCCATCCAGGAAACATATAATTGACATACCGGATCCAGTGGTGCAAAAGGCTTTTGACAAAGGATCCCATTCCTTATCCCCAAAGGCTTGCTAAGAAAAATGGTGAGAACTAATTGAATAAGTTCATCCAAATAATAAACCGTCTATCTATTAATGTGTAATTGGAGGAAGCATTTAAGAAAATGCCTGGTTCTTAGGGTCAGTCATCAAGTTAGTGCTATTGTTCATTCCATTGCTCCCAAATTGAAGGATCCCGGTTCTTTCACAATTCTTTGTACCATTAGAAGTGTCAATTTTGCTAAGGCCTTATATTATTTTAGGGAAAATATCAACTTGATGCCTATTTGCCTTTAAAAATTTTGGGGATTAGGAAACTAAGACCCATATTTATGAGGTTACAATGGCCGGTAGCACAACAAGGATACTATTGGGAGTGATTGAAGATGTATTGGTTCAAGTTAATAAATTCATTCTTTAGGAGGACTGTGTTATTCTTGATTGTGAAGTGGACTATGAAGTTCCAATTATTATTGGAAAGCCACTACTTGCTACGGAAAGGCCCTTTGTGATGATGAGGTGTGGGAACTCACTTTCCAGGTTGGTGACGAGCAACTGATATTTCATGTGTGCAAGTCTATGCGTCAACCAAATAGCAATGAGGTGTGCTCTTTTGTAGATTTAGAGACCGATGTCATAATTGATGTTGGATGGCATTTTGCTCAATTTTGATGATGATGATGATGAAATGGATGGTTTCATGGTATGTGTTAAATCATGCGGTCTTATAGTTATCCACCCGGAAAATTATCATTGGATTTTAAAAATAGGAAAACTCCTCCCACAGAGACTTTAATTGAAGAGCCTCCTACTTTGGTGTAGAAGCCATTGCCACCACACATTTAGTATAAGTATCTTGGCTCTTTTTATGCTTTACTGGTTAGTCTTTCATCTTGTTTGTAGATTCCACTTTGTCAATCCTACAAAGTACGAAGAAATCTATTAGGTGGACTTTGGCGAACATTCGGGGTATAAGACCTGCTTTTTGTTCGCTTAAGATAATATTGGAATGTGGTGGTTGACCATCTATTAAACATCAAAAGAGACTTAAAGAAGAAATGCAAGATCTTCTAAAGAAGTAGATTATCAAATAGTTGGACTGGAGTTGTGTAACCCATTTCTTATAGTTCATATACCTCTTCGGGTCAATGTATCCCAAAGAAGGGAGGCATGATGGTTGCTACCAATGAAAAGAATAAGTTGATATCTACAATAATGGTTACTAGATGGAGGATTTTTATGCATTACCTGGAGTTCAACATAGTTAGAAGGAAGGACCACTTCCCCTTCCATTCATGAATAAAATGCTTGATAGATTGGCCAGGCATAATTTCCATTATTTTCTAGATGGTTATTCTCACCGATACAAATAAATTCTCATCGCACTGGAAAATCAAGAGAATACCAGTTTTACATACCCATATGTTACTTTTGTTTTTGAAAAGGATTCTTTTTGGCTTGTGCAGTGCACCAACAACGTTCCGGCGGTGTACGACAGCCATCTTCATGGATATGGTGGAGGACTACCTTGAAGTACTCATGACTGACTTTTTGGTTGTTGGGGATTTATTTGATGATTGTCTTGCTAATTTTGACAAAATATTGGCTAGATGTGAGGAAATAAACTTGGTACTCAATTGGGAGAAATGTCACTTTATGGTTAAGGAGGGCATTATCTTTAGTCATAAAAATTTGAAGAATGGCATTGAAGTGGATAACACAAATATTGAAGTGATTACCAAGCTTCCACCTCTAACCTCGTTCAAGGGTCCAAGAAGTTCCTTAGGCCATGTGGGATTTTACCGGATATTCATCAAAGATTTTTAAAAAGATGTGAACCTGCTGTGCAAGCTCCTCGAAAAAGATGCAAAGTTGAATTTCAATGCCAATTGCATGAGGACTTTTGAAGAGTTGATGTTTAAATTTAACAACCACTACTATTATTGTATCCCCGGTTTGGATCTTACCGTTTGAGCTCATGTGTGATGCAAGTGATGTGGCGGTTGGGGATATTTTTGGGCGAAGGATCAATAAAATTATCCATATGGTTTACTATGCTAGTAAGACTATGCATAGTGCCCATGTCAACTACACCATTATGGAAAAGTAATTACTTGCCATTTTATTTTCTATTGAGAAGTTCTGTCCTTATTTGATAGGTGTAAAGGTCATTGTGCACACAGATCATGTGGCACTGTGATATCTTATGAGCAAAAAGGAATCCAAATTCCAGTTGATGAGATGGGTGCTTCTATTGCAAGCGGTTGGCATTGAGATCCCAGATAATAAGGGGAATGAAAATCAAGTAAGCAGACCACTTATCTTGTTTGGAGGAGGAGAAAAGGCTACATGATGGCAATGAGATCAATGACTTCTTTTCCGATGAGCAACTTTTGGCACTTCCTATGAAAGACGTTCCATACTTTTGCAGATTTGGCTAATTTCATTGATAGCAGTATCATTCGGAAGATTTCACTTAAAACCAAAGGAAGAAGAACAAGAGGGACTGCATGGACTACTATTGGGATATATCATATCTTTTTTGAATTTGCGCAGATGGACCGATTAGGAGATGTGTGTTGGATGAGTAACAAAGCGATATTTTCATTACTTGTCATACTTCACCTTATGGTGGTCACAATGGGGGATAAAGATCGGTGGCGAAGGACCTAAGTTGTGATTTCTATTGGCTTACTCTTTACAGGGTTGCAAGTGATCTTGCAAAAAGGTATGATCAATGTCAACGAGCCAGTGGAATTTCAAAGAAATATGAAATTCCCCTTACACTTATCTTAAATATATATATCTTCAATGTTTGGGGTATTAAATTCATGGACCCATTTGCGAGTTCCTTTGGTAACACCTGTAATTGGATTGTAGCGGATTGTGTGTCTAAGTGGGTGGAAGACGTTGCTTTACCTAATAATGAGCTAGGAGTGTGGTGTCTTTTTAATAAGAACATATTCACAAGATTTAGGACTTCTAGAGAAATCATAAGTGATGGAGGGTCACAATTTTTTCAACAAGTATTATGACACTTTGCTTGGAAAATATGGTGTCACTCATAAAGTGGCAACCCCTTGTCATCCGCAAGCAAGTGGTCAAGTTGAAGTGTCCAACCGAAAGATAAAATGTATCTTGTTGAAGACAGTTAATGCTAATAGGTCAGATTTATCCAAATGTTAGATGATGCTCTATGGTCATATAGAATGGCTTACAAAACACCTATGAGAATGTCCCCATATCGGTTGGTGTTCTGGAAAGCTTGTCATTTTTTGGTGGAATTGGAGCACAAGGAAATGTGGGCCTTAAACAAGCTAAATCTTGATTAGGATGTAGCCTCTAACATTCAAGTTTGCACATTTAAATGAGTTGGATGAATTCTAGTATCAGGTCTATGAAAGTTGTCCTTCTACAAAGAAAAGATGAAATACCTTCATGACAAACATATTTGGAACAAGGAGTTCAAGGCCGATGATCTACTGTTATTGTTCAATTCAAGGTTAAGTATGTTTCTAGGTGAGCTTAAATCGAAGTGGAGTGGTCCATTTGAAGTTGTTAATGTGATTCTATTTGGTGCATTGGTAGCTCGCAAAGCTCATAACCTAGGGTCATGTTCGAGTTAGCGGTCATCGAGTGATAAATTGGTTGAGAAACGTTGGTGAGAGCCAAGTGGTGGCGGTTCTTTGCTTCAAATGCTAGTGCTTTGACATTGCATCATGCTACGACATTAATGAAGGCTCTTCTTAGGAGGCAACCCAAATTCTTTCCCTTTCTCTTTTTCTTCAGTTCTTAGTGTAGATGTTTATTTTGCTATTTTTATAAGATTTGATGTGTGTTGTTGAAGCACGTGATTTTTACCCTACATGAAGATAACTCCTAAAAATAAGTCAAAATAATTTTTATTGATTTTTTTTAGGAATTTTTCCTTTTGTAGTCTCATTTCATACATTTTTATATTTTAAAATCGCGATAATAAAATACAAAAATACGCATTTGCATTTAGGATCTAATTTCATATTTTAGGATTAATTAAGGGTTAATTTGTTTTAGAACAAAATAGGAAGAAAATAACAAAAATAGTACCTTTTGCATTTTTAGTTTAAATTTGTATCAGTTTGCGTTTTTATTAGGAAATCTAATTTTTAGTGTTAATGAGTTTTGGTTCTTAATTTAGCATTTAACAAAATCAGAAGATAAAGTACAAAATAACTAAATAAAATACAAAAAGTGGAAGATAAAAAGAAATTGGGAGTAAAAAAAATGGGAAGAACCTTCCCCAAAATATTTTCCCCCCAAATCATTTCTCCCCACCTAAGACCTCCCCCCCAAAATNATCTATCTTCTTTCTCTAAAAAAGGGAGCCATTTCCATGGCTTTATGCTGAACAAGATAAGAGTCGTTCCCAAGCTCCACCATTAGAAGCAGCCGTTTTGAATACAGAAAGGATCAGCCGTTGTTTTGGGATTTTTGACCAACCTGGACTCAAAAGACCTTCTTCTTCATGAAAAAACCTTAGAGAATCGACAGATTAGAGCAACAGTTACACCAAAATGAGAGAACTCCCCATCCCTGCTTCTCCTCCACGCCTTCTCCGCCACCGTTTCTTCTTCTCCGGTCAAAATCCAGCAACCACCAACAACCACGACACACACACACGTACCAAAAAATAGAAGTTTCGGACAGAATTTTGGAGAGAAAAGACTAAAAAAGCACGCAAAGATTTAGTTCATTTTTTCTTTCTCTGAGTTCCGATTTTGATCTGAAACATAGAGTTTGGTTGAGTTCCAGTGGTGTCGGGTTCCGAGGTTTTGATTGCCGTTCGTTGATCCCGATCGAAGTGTAGTCCATTGTTTCCGGTCAAGTTCGGGTTGCCGAATCTCTGTGGTTGTTTGAATCTCAGCGTCATTTGCTTGTATACAAATTCTAAACAGACATAATTTTGAAAGCTTATCAAGGTGATTGATAAAGTTCAGGAAGAAGCAAAAGCCGTGCAGGTACTACTTTGGACTAGTAATTTTCAGAAAGTTTATAACCACTTCTATTTTAGCTTTTGGATTAGTATGGGGTTTGTTCATCATACAATTGTTTCTGCTCGCGTAGGACTAGTTTCTCAACATTCAGCTTAATCTTAGGTATATTAATTATTTCCTCCAACCAGAAGTTGTAGACCCAATGCATGTGCATAATGAAAAGAATATTTAACTTTCAATTCAAGTATAATTGGGTGGGAATCAAATTGAAATAATATTTTAGATATTTTTCTAAGAAAGTGGTAAAGGGTAAAAATATAAGATAATTCGCTGATAAAGGTGTGGAAAATTATTAATTTAACCTCATAATTATTTAAGTTGTAAGAACATTGTTGGTAAAAGAGACGAAGATAGTTAATAAGGGATGTTTATGCTTTATAAAATATATAGATTATTAGGCTTTTTGCTCGTTCTAATCACGCTGCATTGGTGCTATTTAGTTCAATGATTGACATGCCAATTAACTTAGTTTTCTTTCATTTTCTTTTGGTTTTATTTACTATGATATCTTTGGGAATTTTCAGAACTGCTGGGGAAAGGCATGACGAGTTTGTGGTAATTTTCCATGTCTTTTCAAAGATAGAAGTAGGTTGTGGGCTCAATTGTTCAGGCAAACCAATTAGTTGGTTCGTGAATCTCGTAGTTTTCTTTAGACACGCCGTTAAATTATTATAAATACGGGTACGGTTCCCGTGACGTAGTTGTGATACTTCCTTTCAAAGTCGCTTTAAATATGAATATCCGTAGTTCATTTAGTTGAATGCTTTTCCTTTAGAATTCGAGGCGTGCTATTTAGTTGAATTTCCATGGCCCTCGTAAATTTAAAAACGCGTAGTTGCTTTAGGCGCGTTAGATTAACAATATTACTTTCCTAAACTCAGGTGCGCATTGATGCGACCTAAATCCAAATCTCAACGGAGTCGAAGTGTGTTGACAACCATGGGTGCATTGATTGCGGCATGGTTCGAGATACATTTTCACGACGTTGCAATTCTTTTAAAAATAATTATAATAAAAGCGGTTCAAAATTAAATAAAAGGCACATAAGCTAGCATGTATTAAAATCAGATAAAATCAAATACAACAGTTAAGCGACCGTGCTAGAACCACGGAACCCGGGAATGCCTAACACCTTCTCCCGGGTTAACAGAATTCCTTACTTGGATTTCTGGTTCGCAGACTGTAACAGAGTCATATTTTTCCTGGGTTCGGGATTCAACCGGTGACTTGGGACACCAAAAGCCAAACCTTTCCCAAGTGGCGACTCTGAATAATTAACAATTAAATCCCGTTCCGATTGTCCTCTAAGTGGAAAAACTCCCTTGAATCTACACCCTTTACGGGGTGTAAGTGAAAAAGGAGGTGTGACAGTTGCATTAACAAGTGTTAGGTATTGTGATATGGTAAGAAAAAGTACAAATTGCGGTTCGTACTTTAATTAGTGCGACTGTAAAAAATTTGTTTCGGACAGCACGATCGAAATTATGGCCGTAGATTTTGAGTGCAGGCCGCACAAATGGAGGGAGAATCAAATGCGCAAATGCAAAGTCTCTCAAATATTTCGCCATTAAGGCGAAGCACTTTACGGCCGCACAAAACTCATTTTTAGCCGCACATGATCACTTAATGCACTAATTTGAGGCGGCCACAATTGCGGCCGCATTTCAAAAAGTGCGGACTGCAAAACCTCAAGAACATGAGCTGCCCAAGTAACTGAGTGCGGATCACAATTGACATTTTGCGGCCACACTCTCTAACATTGCCCCCGACCTACTAATAAGCATACAAAGGGGTTACATCAACTTTTTACACTTTTCACTATTTGACCAAGCCCTAACATACCAAATATGTGGAATCAATTCCACTCACTATTGTATGCTAATCAACTGGTCATACTCAATCTCTGTGGGTGTTTTTAACACAATCTAATACACATAAATCAATCTTTTCCACTTTTATTGATTAAATTTTTCTAGTATATTTTTTGAAATGTAGTCTTTTTTGTTCCATTTTGGTAAAAGTGGGGAGGGGGTATTTGCGAAGTCATGATTACTTCTGCTTAGAGTGGGTCTAGGATGGTATTACACTGAAATAATGTATGATCGTTTGTTGCCCAAGAGATTCAACTGCTTATGTTAATTTGTGTTTAGTGTCGGTCGATTTGTTTGAGGAATGTGCATTGTACTTCGTATTTGTGCGGATCGCACATTATTTTTACGGCCAACATGCTTGAATGAGTAATTTAAGAGCATCTGAAATGGGTGGACTATACTTTAATTGCGTGGACTGCAATTGTATTTTGCAGCTGGAAAGATAGCTCTGCACTGCTTATCCGGGAACCTTTTCTATGAGATATGAGTACAACAACTTATGTGTAGACTATAGAAGTATTTTGCAGCAACAAAGGCCGGTCCGCACGGGCTATCAGAGACTTACTTCTTAGACTTGAGGAAAAAAACTTAATTGGACTGGATGCCTGTGACCATGCCGAGTGGATTGTATTGTTATGCATGTGACCAGGGCGGGTGGATTATGATATTATGCATGTGACCACGCGGGAGGATTGTGTTGTTATTCTTGTGACCATGCCGGGCGAATTATAATATTGTGCATGTGACAACACATGGGCGGATTGATATTATTAGCATGTGAGTTGTCCGTGCAGCATGAGAGCTATCCAAGTGGATACAGATATTAATATTATAGCATGTGAGTTGTATGTGCCGCACGGGAGTTATCTGTGCGGTTGATATTATTAGCACGTGAGTTGTCCGTGCAGCAGATGAGTTGTCCGTGCAGCGTGTGCACGGACAACGCGAATTGTGAGAAACCGATGGGTTTCTAGTTGATGTGAGCTTTGGGAGAGCTGGTTACTATTATTGGATTGGGTTGCACGCTGCAACGGACTGAAATTCCCTTTACTATTTACCTGATTTTACTTGCTTATCCTTATATGTTGGATTGTTGACTAAGCAAAACACTTTAAAATGAAGAATTATGAGCATCAAAGTAGTTTTACTTGAGATTTCATGTTTTGATCATGTATATGTTCTATACTTATTGATATTATGAACTGCATAGGTTTTAGTGAGTATCATCTACAGTTCTTGCTTATTTTACCGTACTGAGGTTAGTTAGGATACTTACAAAATACATGGGGTTAGTTGTACTCATACTTATTGGAGTTATTGTTGTTGTTTATGGCGGGAGCTGCAATTTAAGATGTACCCGCATTTCAGTTATGGCTATCACTTTCCTTTGGTATCTTTAGATTTGAATAATGTTCATGTACAATCCAAATAGATGTGGTAATTATTTTAGTTCAGTTTTTGTACAACTCCAAATCATAGAAGCTCATGATTTGTACTACCAGTCCTTAGGTTGTTGTATAAAAGTTCAGTTATTTCATTATTATTTTCTCAGTAAATCTCATTTGAAATTGGATTAATGTGAAATTGGCTTACCTAGCTGGTTGGGTTAGGTACAATCACAACTAATTAGATTTTGAGTTGGGACAAGTTGGTATCAGAGCTCTAGGTTCATAGGTTCTNTTTCTCTTATAACCTCACTTGGGTTGTGTTTTTCTGTTAGTTGGCTTACCTAGCGGGTTGAGTTAGGTGTCATCATGACTTGTGATTTTTAGGTTGTGACAAGGTGGTATCAGAGCACTAGGTTCATAGGTTCTACGAGCATGAGCAAGTGTCTAGTAGAGTCTTGCGGATCGGTATGATGACGTCCATACCTATCTTCGAGAGGCTACAAGGCATTTAGGATAAACTTCCCATCTTTTCTTCCTTATCGTGAGGCATTGATTCAGCTTGAAGCATAATTCTTTGAATTCCCTCCATTCACTCATATATGCATGTGAGCACTTCAGCTCTATATCAACTTCTTGTGGATTCCATGGATGAGTTGTGAGATGTGCTTTCTATGTTTTGGTGATGGGCCAGTTTGGAGGACTTGAGGCCCATCTTGGATCACAACTTATGCCTAGTAGCTTCAGTTGTCTGAGCATGTGCTTTTGGACTTCTATGTCTAGTGGTGTCCCTATGAGTGAGATTGGCGGTTCGGTGAGTGGTTGGAGGCTATATGATGAGTAGGATGTGACTGCGGGATGTGTTCAGATGGTTTGAATATTATGGAAAGAGTTTGTTTGAGATGTGAAAAGGACTATCAGATGCTCGATTTCTTTGGATGTGTCATACAGTCTTGAGTTATGAATGTTTTTGACAGATTTTTTTGTGTTATTTCATTTGTGAAACAAATGATATTTTCATGTCTTGTTGATGAGTTCAGACTCAGAAAGATTAAATAATTGTGTAGTAGTTGTGGTTGTGAAAGGGTATAGAGATGTTAGTTTGAGGCTAAGCAAGTAGGTTGTCACCTGCGGGGTAATCTACAGATGTGTGATCTTTATGATGTTGTGTGGATTCTTTCTTTTCTACCATTAGTATAGGTGGTGCACTTTGAGTTTGGATTAGGTAAGAAAGTTGACATGACCATCACAAAGATGAATGCGAGCTTAGCAGATGATATGAGGTATTATATGATTTTTGTTATATGACCTTATGAAGGATTTAGTTGAATCTCACTGCGGTATTATGATAGTAGTAGAGTATGGCATTGTAAGTTATCAAGTGTTTTGATCTATGACTTTGAGCCAAGTAGTGGAGTCTACTATCAACGATTTGATTGTATGGTTACGTGTTATATTGGTTTCGATCTGAGGCATACTTGGGGATTGGTTATGACTTGCGGAGGCTAGTTTTGAGGATGACTTAAGCAAAGAAATTTCTGGATGCATAGTGTATTATACTTTATGGTTATATGGGAATCATGGAATGATTGAGTAGTTATTTATGAAGGATATAGTGTGCATGGAGTAAGAATTTGCTCGGTTGCGTTACGGCGGAGTTACTTTTTTGGGTGTTATCGTGCTAATGGGACACAGATCATCCGGCGCATTTGGGCGGTGCAATTCAGATTTGAGCAGAGTGGATCACTCTCGAGAAGGTTCTAATGGATTCAAGATTTATATGTAGCAATTGAGAATTTTTTGGATTTGTATATGGCTAGAATCTGAGATTTACATTGCATGATGTCGAGACTTGCGGTATTTATATATCATTATAGATTCTACATTTCAATATCAAAAAGGTGAAGGAAAGGACTTTAGATTCACAAAAGGTCTCTTCAGAGTGGGTGTCTCGGTTATGGTACTTTTGGGGGTGCTTGAGAGGGAATACAACAACTTATCGGCCTTAGAATAGAGTGGTTTTATGCTAGGATCTCTTGTGGTGAGCTTTGGGTGAGGATCGTGGTGTTCTGACAAGGAGAAGTAATAACTTGAGGGTGATTTAAAAGGAGCTCAGAGGAATAGGACAGCTTGGTAGTAGGTTGGATTAGCACGATAAAGGATATGATTAGTTCTTTTAGTTCTTATGATGAGATGAGGCTTTACGAGTGTTTTGTGGCAATACTCTTGGATTTGGCGACCTGCATGGCTTGCTTGAGTTAGAAAGATTCATCTCTAATAGATTGGTTATCTACAAATGGAATTTCTAAGTGTTCTCGATGGTTTCTACCACGATTTGAGATGGATATTTCCTCTCAGCGTGACGTGCATGTTGCGTATTGTGATTTTCTACTGGATGGGATAAAGTGAAAGGTTCCTGGCTAATTGAGTATGTAGTCTGCTTGTGACTCAGAATTTATTATGAGATTCTCGCGGTTTCATTTGATGGCATAATAGATGCAGTGCATCTTGTGGGATTTAGATTTGCATGTATAAGGTGACGGTTCAGTTTTGAAGGGATGGTCATGAATTCTTAGATAGCATTGATGTTTTAAGGTGATCAGATGAATTCTATTACTACTCGGTATTGCCTGAGAAGGGTGCACATTTCAGAAGGCACTCTGTATTTTGACTTATAGTCGCTTCATTGGCATTGAGGTACTCGCATGGTTGATCGACTACTGACATTCAGATTTTGCTATGTGGCACGGAAGGATTATAGAAATATATCTCGTGGGGATGATTGTGTATGAGAGATTTGTTAGTCATTCGAGTGGTGAAGTTGGGATCAACTATAATGATTCATGTGTTCTATGGATTTGGAGATTGGGAGTTCTCAGAAGTAGATTATTTTGGGGTTGCAGACTGTGAAAATGTGGCCAAAGTTAGATAGATGGTGTTACATGTTATGGATAGATCATTGTGGACTTTTGGAGGGCTATTTATCCATTTGGGGATGACTGGAGTTGATTTGGGGGCTCAGTGGTAGGCCTAATGAGGGTGTGTATTCTATATCGGGTTGGATTGGTTGACTCTGTACTTTTATTGTTGATGGATGTTCCATTTGGTTTGAATTGATCTTATTCGTATCTAATATGTTCTATGTGTTACTCTTCCATGCTACAATGGGTTGTGATCTGTTGGTTACTTGCATGTTAGATGCATTTCTATTTGGGTCGTGCGGTGAAATTAGGGTGAGATGGTTATTAGGGTATTGAATGGTTGATTGTGCCTTCGTTATGATCTTTCCAGTTGGTGGTATATTGTGTTATCCGTTTCTCCATGGTTATAATCATGCACTTCGTGTATTTTATGTCGAATTACGTGTCGTTATTGATTTAGAACATTATGGCTTGAGGTATTTCATATGGGCCAATGTTTGGATGGGGTCACACATTGACGTGGGGTTACGTTGGGATATGATATTTTGAATTAGATTCGTGTGTCTTGGCCCTACTATGTGTGATGGGTTCATAGCATTGCGTTGTGTTGGTACTTGTTGAGCTTGCGGGATGGTTTTCTCATTTTAGTCATTTTTTCATGTTTAAGTACATTTGGATTGTTGCTTATTAGTGCACAGATTGCACGGTTGTGGCGTTAGGTTGTATTGGTATGACATGTCAATAGAATTGTTGTGTCTGATGAAATAAGGTCATTGGACCAAGAATGGATACTATCGAATTTGATTACGGTATGTTATGAATAATAATATCGAAAGTCAACTTACGATTTAGCTTTGGTTCTTGTTAGAGGAGAGAGAGAGAGAGAGAGAGAGAGAGAGAGCTTCATGACTTGTTGTTCTAACGAGTGGTTATGAGTTTCTGCGTGTTTCTTTCATCAGCGGCAGTGTACGAAGTTTTTTAACGAGGTTTCATTCGATATGAGGTTTATTACCGTTTTTGGGTTTGTTTTGAGCGGCTACTGTGATCGAAAATTTTTCTACGATTATATGAGTTATGTAGTATATCATGTGATTTCATCTTGGTTTATGGTTATGGCTTGATACAACTTGTTCGGACTTATACATAATGTAAGTGCGAGATTTGGGTTTTGTAAGGAATTCCATATGTTGGAAATTGAGTTCCAAGCTTTATGGGCTAAGGATGAATTAAGGATCTTCATTTATATTGTGTTGCCAGGCTTATATGGATTTGGGTGACGTGGGATTACTCCCGGGTATGTGCATGGTAAGGTTGCACAATGATTTGAAGGTTTTGGAACGACTCATGGCACATTCGGGGATGAATGTATGTTTATGTGGGGGAAAATATATTGACCCGATTGGTGATTTTGAGCATTTGCACTTCACTCTGTGGTTTGAGGGCATGAGTAGCTCCATATGTTGTATTAGGACTTGTATTATCATCGGTTTCAGTTTTCGGGTGATTTAGAATAAGTTTGGAAGGATGAATTTCAAGTTTAAAGCTTTTAGTTGGAAGAGTTGACCAAGTTTGACTTTTTAGTGTTTGACCTCGGATCAAAAGTTTGATTGTTTCATTAGGTCCGGATAGTGATTTTTGGACATTGGCGTATGCCCAGATTCGGGTTTGGATATTTCTAAAAGGTTTCATTACTATTTGGTGAAAGTTGACAATTTGAAGGTTTGTAATGTTCATAAGTTTGACAGGTAGTTGACTTTGATGATATGTTGTTTGAATTGATATTCCAGGAATTGGAATAAGTTCGTTACGTCATTTGGAACTTGTATGCAAAATTCGGATTCATTCCGGATTGGTTAGGCTTGAATCGGATACTTGGTTCGAAGTTAGAAGATTATGAACTTAAGAGATTGATCTTTATTAACAATTCATGGTTTTGGTATTAATATGTGTGATTTGAGGCCTCGAGTAGGTCTGTAATATGTTTTGACACTTGTTGGTATGTTCAGACGAGGTCCCGATGTGCTCGGGTGAGTTTTGAGGTGGTTTTGGACAATTTCTAGCCATTTTTAGT